GTTTCAGCCCAGCTTCCACAAGAGTGGGGGGGTATGCAGGTCATGTTCACTGAGGCTTTAGATATTGCCCACAGCAGAGTCTGCTTCCCATACTGGAAGGGGAGGGTAAGGGTGGACTCCCCGAGGCCATTGACTCTGTCCAGGTTTCAGCTGAGCTCCCAAGGGGGGAGGGGTTGTGTGTTGTTCTGTCAGTGACCACCAAGGCCTCAGAAGTTGTCCAGGGCTCCACGTGCCTCATATACTAGGGGGCAGGCACCAGAGTGGCTCACTGGGGTTCCTAAAGGCGTCTGGTGTTCAGTCCAGCCCTGCCCCCCCCCCCGACACACTATGGGTGTGGCCAGTAGTCACCGAGGCCCCAGAGGGTGCCCAGGGTTCTGCCTGCCTTGCATGCTGGTCAGGGAGGCACCGCTTCCTGAAGATGTCTGGGATTCAGCCCCACTGCTTTCCGGGTTTCTGCCTGGTCCCAAGCTCATGTATGAGGCCGGCAGCAGCTCACCCGAGTTCCTGAAGCCATCCAAGGTGCAGCTCCACTCTAACAGGGGATGGGGAGAGGAGGGGAGGGGAGAGGAGTAGACCCCAGGCCCCTAGAGCTGTCTGGGTTTCTGCCTGGTCCCAGGCTGTTGTCTTCCCTTTGGCTTTACTCAAACCCCTATCCCTCTGGGCTTTGGATGGTAGATTCTACAAAACTGTTGAATTTTTTTTTTTTTTTTTTACCAATAGGAGAGATAGAACAAATGAACACCAAACATTGTTAATGTACACCAGTGTATTTTTTAGGTCAAAGCTTGGGTTGCTATAATGTTTACACTACAGCTGTGGATTTCTTCTCCAGAGTGAAGGAAGACCCTAAACAGGGTCTTATGCTGTGTAAATTTCTCAACTAACTCTGATAGATTCTACTGCAAAAGATTAGCCTTTTACTTCTGTAGTTGAATTGATTCCACAGGAATAATCCTGACAATTAAATGCCAGTAAACTCATTTTCTTAACCCACTGTTGCACCCACAGGAATGTACAGCAAGAGTTCCTAAACTGAGAATTGAGCCTCATTCAGACTCAGAAAGAATGCCTGCAACCTAGCAGAAATAGACTGTGAGTCTGAGTTGACCATAGTTTTCCAGGGGGTGACCATTGCAGTTATTGGGGTGTGGTCACTTAGACACTTTGGCAAAAAAATGAGTTGGGAATTACATACACAGTGGGTCATTGGAATAGCTAAGCACTGTCCTCAGTAGATATTTTATTGGTTTAAGTTTTTGTATGTATCTTGAGTTATTTAGTGTCTTCTTTTTTGTTTCATGTGTATCTTAGGTTGTTACTCTTGTAGAATTGTACCCCATTATCTCAGGTTAATAAACATCTAAGTTCACTCCTTCACCTATAGACAAGGGGGAGGGGAAAAACTGCAAGAACTATCATATAGAAATGGTATAAGATTCAAACTGTGGATACTGTTTTAAAGTGAAGTATTCTTGTGGCAAAACATAGAGATAGAGAAAAAAATCACTTAAAAATGAAAGTAGCAAATAGTGTACATCCGAAGCTGAAAATTACTCATGGGGATTCAGCATCCTACTCAAAAGCTTCCTATAATCACGTTCTTTCCTGGCCTCTGTAGTCCCCAACTGACAGTAACACCCCTCCCAAAAGAAGGGGAGGGGAAGAAAGAGGGGGACTCATATATTTGGAAGAAAAGATATATAAGTAAATAAACATAGCTTCAAGTAGGAGAGTGGGAAAACAAGGAAACAGAACTCTGAACCCTCTCCAGTCCCCGACACTGCTAAAGCAGAGCAAGGGGCATAACAGGAGAAGAAAACAAATACTACACACCAGAAATTATGAAAGGTTCTTAGAAGGGATAAAAAATAGAAGCATTCAAAGAGGAAATAAACCAAAATTTATATCAGTGATATTCAATATGCCCACGGTGAATTTTAGGGAAATAGGTACAAAACTGGATGAGCTAACCGAGGCAGTTAAAAACTTGAGCAACAGGTTCAACAAGGATGTGGGATCCTCTAAAAGACATCATACAGAAATACCTGAAATAAAAATCTATAGAATTCATACATTCCAGAAATGCACAATGTGAAGACAGAGTATCTGATGTTGAGAACAAAATAGTGGATTACAATAAAGAACTCAAAGACGCTAAAAAGAAAATAAGAGATCAAAAGAAGACTGTCCACCAGCTACTAGATGACAACAACAAACTAAGCCAAGGCTAATTGGAGTTAGAGAAAAGCTTGAAGACTGCACAGGTGGATTTATCAACATGCTTACAAAAATTATTTAAAAATTTCCCAAATATTAGAAAAGATTTTAAACTACAAGTAATTGATTCTTATAGAACACCAAACAATTATTATGAAAGGAGAAGTTCATCAAGGCATATTCCTATTAAATTCACAGATAAATACACAGGATTTTAAAGGCAGCCAGAGTAAAACAACAAAATCATTTATAAAGGTAAACCAATTAAAATCACAGAAGACTGCTTAGCACAAATCCTGAAGGCTGGAAGGGCTTGAAGTATAACTTCCAACCTAGATTAATTTACTCATCAAAATTGTCCTCCAAAATAGATTGAGAAATGAGGTATTTCTATGAAACAGACAGGCTCAGAAGATATATGAGCTAAACCACCTCTAAAAAAATCCTCAAGAATATTCTTGACAGAAACATAGGAAACACAGAAACACACCTAAAAACACAGAGGAAACTAGTGAGGTCAGTGGATAAACAACAAAAACATCAGAAAATAAATAATAGACCAACAGATGCAGAAGATAATGATAACAAATAACCAACACATCTCAGTAATATCTATCGATGTTAACAGCTTCCTCTCTCCAAACAAAAGACACAGGCTGACAAACTGAACCAAAAAACAGAACCCAACAATCTGTACCCAACAATCTATACCCAACAATCTGTTCAATAAAACCATACAGTCCAATAAGACACTCACAGGCTCAAGGGTGAAAAACAACATTTCATGCACCATGGCCCAGAAAACAAGCAGTAGCAGCCATTCTAATAGCAGATATGGTAAACTTCAAGTTAAAATGGATTAGAAGAGACAAAGAAGGTCATTACATACTAGTTAAAGGAACAGTCCAACAAGAAGACATAACATTGAAAAACATATAGGCACCAAATACCAGAGTGCATATTTTCATAAAACAAAAACTGCTGAAATTAAAAGATCCAGCAAACATTAACACAGTCATAGTAGGGGACTTTAACACCCCACTTTAATAAAGAGATAGATCAACTAAACAAAAGCCAATAAAGAAATTTCAGAGCTGAACCACACCCTAGAATATGGATTTAATAGTTATATACAGAGCATTCCACCCTCCTCCAACAGAGTAGTCTTTTCAGCAGCACCTGGTACTTTTCCTAAAATAGATCACATAAAAGTCTGCAAAGCTTGAATGAGTAAATATAAAATAATTGAAATTACTACATGCATACTATCCTACTACTGTGCAATAAAAATAGAAATCAACAACAGAAGAAAATACAGAAAAGGCAAAAGTTCCTAGAAAATTAACAACATACTCCTAAAATATTAATGAATCACAGAAGAAATTAAAGAAGAAATTTAAAAATTTCTGAAAGTTAATGACAACAAATGTACAACTCAACAAAACCTTTGGGACACTTTGAAAGGAAAATTCATTTCAATCAGTGCTCACTTTAGAAAAATAGAGCAAGACCAAATTAATAATGTAATGGAAAACATTTTAAAGAAAATTAGTTTTTAATGTTTTTATTTTATGGAAGAAAAGATAAAACAAAATTTCATAACAAAACAGGAGAATAATAATAGTTAATAAATTATTTGCTATCTCTAAAGTAGTTGTTCAGGGTACAAGATATGGGCATAAAATTTCTTTAATCAATATAAGCACAAACCTTCCTTTTTAATGATCTAAGAGACACTAACAGTATAACTGACTTGCCCTTTTTTCCTTTTCCCTACTGTCCTTTCCCATTTCACCCATCCTACTTCCTCTTTCCTTTTGAACAATTTCTTCCCTTTTCAAAATATCTGTTGTACATTTTAGATGTTATTTACTCTTTCAAATTCTCACACAAGGGAGATAATCTAAGAAATGTTAAGATACTTGAGAAACAGTAATAAAACAGCTCCAAGCCAAAATTAAGGCAGGGAATTATAAAGATGAGAATGGAAATTAATGAGATTGAGACTAAAAAGAACCTTGTAAAATAAATCAGTGAAGCGATGAGGTAATTTTTCAAAAGAATAAATAAAATAGACAAGCTTTTAACAAGACTCACTGAGAGAAGAGACTCACATCAACGCAATTAGAAAAGACAAAAGTGAAACCACAACAGACACTGTTGAAGTCCAGAAGATAGTAACTACTTTGAAAAATTATATTCCAACAAATAAGTAAATATTGAAGAAATGGACAGAAAGGAAGGGGTATGGCTTGTGTTTAGATATTTCCCCAAAGCCTTATATAGTCATAGATAGTTTTTGTTCAGGCGTGGTTGGATCTACAGTGTGTGATTGATTCATGGTACAATGTTGGGATTAAAGGTTTGTAATTACTAAATCAGTCCACTAATTGGATTAGCACTGCCCTAATCCCGATAATCTGCATAATATAAAAGGGGAAGAAAGATGTTGTTAAGGCCTTTGTTGTTTTGCTACAGTCTGCTGCCATGAACTGTTCTCCTCTACCAAGCCAGCCCGCCATGGAGCCAGGTGATTATGGACTGAAACCTCTACAAACTGTGAGCTAAATAAACTTTTCTTTCCTTAACTTTGGGAGTCAGGTATTTTGTCTCAGCAACAGGAAAATTAACTAAGACAGAATTCAAGCCCAGTTGAGTTGGGAAACTGGAGTAATTTGCTGAGATACTGACTAAAATACCCAGAGGTGGCTTCTGAGATACAAAGTTTATTGAGATATAGCAACAAACAAAAATAGATGAGGTCCAATAGCACTACCACATATTTATTGTCTTCCACATACGAATGTTAAAAAATTAATGATACGTTTTTCAGTACTGATGAACACCAAAGGACTGACTGTGGCATAGCCATGGGCCATAAGAATTTGGATACAGTAAAATATTGGATTATTATTCAACACAATTCTTGAGTAGGTAACAGTACCGAAACTGGTCATGACTACAAAGAAACACATAAGCAGCAGAATGGTCCTAGTGGCCCTTTGTTCTGCGGATCCTTTTGGAGAAAGTCTGTTGTTGTGAAGATGCTGGGACTGCTTCTTATGCCTGCACAAGAGAGTCACTATGTACCCACCCGAGAGGGCCAGGACACCTACAGAGAAGGCTTCCCTGAAGGCCAGCAGTGTTGAAAGTATGTGCCGGAGGAAGTAATTCATGGGAATAAAAGCACAGGACTCAGTGACATACCAAATATTTTCTGAGGTAAAATTGGGGGTAGCAGCAATGGAGAACACCAGGTGACTGCTAACAGATACGTATAACAGCCAAAAGAAAAGAAGGGAACGCAGGTTGTGACATGAGGATTTGTGTTTGAACTTTGCCAAGCAAGAGCTTCTGGGGCTGAGTGTGATGGCCTGAAGGACACTCAGCTGGCAGGTGATGCAAATGGAGAGGCCCCTCATTAACCCGTACACATAGATTACTGACTTACATGTGATGTCATTCCAAAACCCTGCTTGAGAGGTAAAAATGTCTCCAGTTATGAATCCTTCAATTAGCAGCATCACTAGGTGATTTAGAGCCAAGAGGACAGTGGGCAGGTCGGTGAGTCTGGGCTTGTGCCCTACAAGGAATATGATGACGTGGAAGAGAAGGAGGATGGCATTGCCTGAGACCCCAATGACAACTTGAGAATAAAATGTGATTCTGATGTTAATATTATTGAACAACTCGTTCTTCACATTCATCTTACATGGAAAGATGCATAAAGTGAATGTCTGAAGAGAAAAGCAAGAATTCTTTGTTACAGACAGAAACTCCTTCGTCAATATCAGTGTCACTGCTACCATCGCAAAAATGAATAGACTCTTCCTGGTGCATCCTTATTCCACTTAAAACCTCAGCTCTCCCTCATCGCATCCGAAAGCCATTCAAGCCTCTCCCTGTTGCAACATTTCACAGTCATGGCTGGATTGTGCAAGCCAGTGTAGGACTTTCACATGGACCCTCCCACAGATCAGTCATGCACACAGATACTTTATTTGAGCAATATCTTTATTCTTGTTTTATCTTTTATTTTTGGTAGACCAAGTATTCTTAATATATGGACAGAGCAAAGGCTGATAAGTGTGAACTCTGCAATCAGACTTCTTGAATTTATATCAATGTTTTGCTTTTTCACTGAGTGTGAAGTTTAATCATCTGATGTATAAAATAAGACTACCTATATTTTAGATATTTTATGCTTGAATGGAGCTTAAGTCTATATACAAAACTTGCAAGTATTTCTAGCACATAGTGATGTCTCCGAAAAGGTTGGCTATTATCATGCAGTTATTCATACATGTTACTGGGTAGAATTAACACAATTCTTTAAGTAATTGATAAGCTACATCCTTACCTGGAGCAAAGAAGACCAAAAATTCCCAAAATAGTACAAAATTTGAATAATGCTTCTGCAGAGAATGCTGATGGAATTTTAGGACATTTGTTTGAATACTCCATTGTAGCTATATATCTCACATATTTTTTACTATCATGATGGAATTAATAGTCTGTGTCAGATGAGTTCAAATACGAGCAAGAATATATTCCAAAGTTTTAATACTCAGTCATTTTAAATCAAGGCCATAAACAGAATCACAATTAAAAATACATTCTGGTCATTCCATTTTAAGGTTCAGATAAAGGATGAGTATTCAGCGCAGTCCAGAAGGAACAAGCTTTCATCTCTCCCTCATATAAGCAGTAATATTTCTCCAGGCTTCTTACTGTCAAGCCTGAAATTGGTACAAGAAAATCTGATGAGTGATCTACTGATAAGATATTTCTTGCAGAGTATGCATTTTTACTTGGATTCAATAATCATATATAAGAGTTACCTAAAATTGTAAAGATCTTTCCAGTCACATAATAAAGAGCTATAATCTGAAAATCAAAGATGTAAGGCTAAAGTTTTTTATAGCTATTTAGATGATGCAGTTTTAAAGTGTAAGATGCTATGGGGAAGCAGAAATGTTAAAAATCAATGAAGATGCGATACCATTGAAACATATAAAGCTGAGGTGAATAGCACCTAAGACATTTGAAAAATAGCTTTTCTGAAATAAGAATTCTATAGAATTATGAGAAAAAAGTTGTTTCATATGCTTAATTGTCTCTGTATTCTTGACACTAATACAGTCTTTGCTAAGTAAGTATTAGTAAATTATTTTCCCAGCCTTGTAAACTTTTTAATATAACATATAGGCTTGTTTTCCTTTCTTAGCCCCAATGAACAGAAGTCAGTGAGGGAAAGAAAAGGATAAGTTCAATTTTAACAAAGTAATGATCATGTAAAATGAATTTTTTCTTTTCATACATTCAACATATTTTGGCTTATCCCATAATCGTACCAGAAGGAAAATAGTAAATTATTAGTCAAAATTCCTTTTGTCTCTGTCTTTATGCAACATACATGATCACTAACATGCAGCCCTAAATATTATTCTGTGACCTCTGTGAACTTGTAATTTCCATGACTGTTTTCGTGTGTTTATTTCTTGTAAAATAAAGCAACACTAATACAGTTTTAAAAGAGTAATTACAAATAGATGCATATTAGCATTTAATAATTAGCATTTAGCATTAATTAATTTAATTTAATTACTAACATTTAAAAATTGTCGAATTCATGTCATTTGTGTTAAATACAGATTTTGCTTTTATTTAATTCATTCATTTTTAATATGTAAGCCTTACAAACATATAGCAGTGTAAACTGTCTAAGCCACATGTTTTGATCATATCTATATCTGAGTACTGCACTACAAAATTTTCAGCATAACTTCAGAAAGTGAAATTCTGCAAACTTAAGTGTTTTATGAAAGTGAAGAGTGTACAGATGCCATGAGGGTGCAATAATATTGAGGAAATCATGGCTTCGGTGGACCACTGCTTTAAACTCCTGGAAAACCTTCTTTTCCTGGAAATAAAATTCCTCAGAAGTAACAGGAAAAAATTAGCTTCCTTTGGCAGAATATACTTCAAGGAGAGTGAAAGGATTTCTTGTAATCACATGTACCAACTTACCCTCCTTCAAGGTGCACCTAGAGAAACCTCAGGAAATATTCCTCTGGTCATCCTACTAGCCAAATGTTGCATCATATTCAGCTGTATCAAACCTACAAATAAACATATATAGTTTAAATTATTTAAGTATTACATAGTAAGTTCCATAAAGAAAGGTATATAGCAATTTCGAGGCCAATTAATTTTTTTTAATAGATAGCAGTCTGGTGAATGTAAATGCTCATAAAAATAAGTTCCAGAAAATCCTCTACCATTACCTTTACTAACTGTGTCTCATATTGCTCAGACAGCATGGTCTAAGACACTGGCAGCAAACCTATGGCATTTTTGTCATAGTGGGCTGTTTGTATCATTGAAAGCTCTAGAAGGTTCACCATCATTGGTCTAAGAGATCAGGAGACAGGACAAAAGCTCTATTCTTAGCAGAATTAGTTAGGAGACCCTCCTCAGACATGGCTTTTAGGAGTGAGATTGCTGAGGTGGAACTTGGACTGGGCTGGCCTACCAAATTGGAGAAGACTGCCTTCAGATGCACTTGATTTTCTGTACATACAGACTGAAGGCCCAGGGAAAATAAGATGAATCTCTGAAGTACGTCCCACGCAGAGAGGCTGTGTGGAAGAAGAGGAGGAAATGCTAGGTTGGGAAATGAGAAAACAAACAAACAAAAACATGGAGTAAGAATTCTCCAAGTGAAATGTGAACACTCATTTGTTACACATGATAGTGAAAACGGGTCTTTTCAAGAGAAAGATAATGGTTAAGAACTTTTACGTGGAGCAAGGATACAATTACATTAAACTCTGTATCATTCCGCACTTACCCAAGTCAGGCACAGTCCTGTGATACAGAATAGTAAGTGGGCCTCCAAACCAGGGACTAGTGTTCGGGACAGTGCGCCTGGACTTGCGGTCTGGGTGGATGTGAAGAGTGGAGAGAAAGGAGGAAAGCCCTCTGCAAACTCCAATAACTGGGTGGACAGATTTCAGGGTAAAAGAAAGAAGGATTCATTTCTTTTGTCTTCTGAAGTGTGAGGTAACTGTTCTGCCCCTTAGCACTGAACAGATGTATAAATGGCATGATTTATGTCCCGATTTTAATACAAAGTGCTGGACAGTCTGGGGACTGATGTCAGTTCTGCTTCGTGCAAGTGGGCTTGAGACTGGCAGGAAATTGTGCAGCGCACTCCACCTAGTGGCACAATTTTAGGTGCAAAACTCTGAAGAGCACTAGGGAGAAGTAGCTGGCTCACAAATGAAGGAAAACGCAGGTCCATATCTGTGTGTGTGCTGTTCGCCCACCTGCTCCACAGTAAGAGCTCCAGGACTATGAACAAGAAAAACCTGCAGCGTGTTTGGGCAAATGAATGGCAGCTACACACCTGAGAAACAGGACCAGAATTTTCTTATTTCAGTGTTTGCAAATGCAAAGGATGGTAAGTTCAGCTCTTTTTCACACCTTCAGGCAGAACATTTACATTACCAAGATATAAAATAAGCCTCCGCAACAAAAGAAGACATGGTGTTCTTTTAAAGTAAAGAAACCAGGAGCCATGGGGAGGTTTCTTTTTAAACACTAATCTGTCATTTCAGGGAACCTAAAAGGTTCTGCAGGAAAATCTGCCTTTCTGATCAACCCATCAATGAAATAAAAATCAAAACCAAATTTCTTAATAAATAGGTTGTGGGTTTTTTTCTCACCATATGCTTTGTCTCTTAATAACAAGAAATTGTAGTTAGGTTTACATTTATTTATTCATGTTGAGTGCGTGAAAAGACACAGTCTATGAATATTAAGTGCATGAAAACCTATAGTTTGTAAATAGTCTGGAAGCTAAAGACAGAGACCAGGGCACGATGGGTTTCAGCTGTGCTAAATATTTCCCTGAAACAAAATTAGTTTTAAGCACAGCTGTTTTGGAAGGTATATATTTTTAAATTAATAAACACAGAAAAAATATTAATGGACACAAATAATCTATCTCCTGGATCTTGTTCATTGTATTCTGAAGTGTTTGGAGCCTGGAATGGGGAAAGAAACATAATTGTCCCATTTAAAAAATGTTTAATGTACTTGCATCTTTATCATCTCACTCCTCTCATCTGACATGACCTCCCTTCTAGAACACAGGCTAATGGTCAACACCATTAGTTTGTAATTTCTGAAATAAAATAAGGACAAGAAATGTGTTGTGAGAAAATTTGCTAGTAGGTTCTTGGCAGTAATATGAGGTTACCCTTTCTGGAATGAGGTGTTGAATATAGAACCTCACTTCCTTCTAAAAGGTCTGTAACTACTTTCTAAATTCCCCAAAGTATAAAAGTAACTTACATCAGTACTAACTCTATTTGATTAACAAAGAAGACAGGAAAAAGCTGAGTATATTTAAGCAGAGTATAAAGTTAAAAATTATAAATTTCCTATGTGTAAGAATAAAAATATTTTAAATCTCTAGGTAACATTCTATATGTAACACAAGTAATGATACAGCTAGTCAGTGAAGATCCTTGAATTCAGATGAACAAATGCAAAACAAATTAATTGATATCTCCTTTGAAAGTGTTGACTAATTTTATGAGTCAGGAAACTATACAACTGTATATATATATAAAGAAGAAAATTACCATTGCAATATAGACCAAATAATCCTCAGAGCTCAGGACAGGTAGAGCTGGAA